AATTGCCATTGGCACGTTCATACATAAAATGCACGTCTTGCATAACTTTATAGACATACAAAAGTCAAAGTGCAAGTGTATCTAATCATTAACACTAATAATGAATTCATTAAAAAAAAATAAGAGCATTTTTAGTAGGTATTAAGAGAAAGTAATTTATTTACTCTACAACTCGCTCTTCAAATATTCCTTAGGTATATGAATATTCAAAATTCACTTTAGCTTTTTTGGATGAGTAATATTTAAGAATAGCATACTAGAGGTGAGCATATCTTCAAATTATGAAAAAATGCAGATACTCCAGTCCTGAGTTAAGGTTCTTTAATATTAAGAAGATAAACTAAAATAGTAGTTGGTATTCCTTGTGGTAGATGTTCCCTAACATTTCCATATGTGCTGCAGTAGGGAATCCCATTTGGCGTTAAAATCAGATACAGCGAATTACAAATACACCAGATTCAAATGCATACTCGATGCATAATCACAGATAACCACAAATTAACTAGTTGCAAAATCCAGGGTGCTTAAGACCGTTATGCCGAAGCTACGTGACAACCCCACTCCAACGATAATTGAGACTTGGCGGAAACATCGCCGCATAATCTTATTAACACCTCCTGAAGTGCTAGCCTAACGGTTCCTTTGACAGATAACGTGCAGTCATTGCCAGATTTACTGCACTGCAATATAATCCTTGTTCGCTTACAGGAGCGGCTTCCTAGCGTGGCGGAGGACGAAGCGGCGACGCTAGAACAAAGATGGATTGTTAAAAGCCAAGTTTTGCTCAAGAATGCGATGAGACCGTTTAATTTACGGCGGCGGGTCGATATTTCCAGGGGCGAATTAGTTTTGTACGTTCCAGTTATTAGAAGTGATTTATTTTCAGGGAATTATCTGATAGTGGAATGAAAGGATCCTCAACTAGCGTCAGAGCTTCCGGGAAAAAGTGCTTGCGGCTCTTTCAGTGAAGGTCGGATTTAATTGATAGCTTAATGTATTTTTGTCATGTTTTTTTTCTGTTTTTGCTATCCATCAATGCCGTGCATCATAAATGCCACACACGCGATAGTAGAGATCAAAATAAATATAAATTTTATACAATATTTGTTAAGAAGGTATATCGGGGTCCGAGGGAAGTGAGGAGCGCAGGGGGGTCCTATGCTTTTCTTATGCGACTAAAACCCGCTGCCAATTAGAAAAAATAAATTCTATTGAAATTAATTGCGATAAACATTATCTATATAGCAAAGAAATCTACTCATATGCACATATCATACATATTGACTAATTAACAGCCAAAAAATATCATATTTATTTTAAGTAGTTTTAAATTATATTTAATGAGCTCATAAAGACTATGCAGATGTGGCAACAGCGCTAATAATTGACTAGCAGTTATACACACCACGGTCCGTCAAGAGACGTTCGCCGCATAAGTCAATTAGTCAATAAAAAACAAATATGTCACCAAATTCCTCAGTTTATCTTCGTTCATCCGTCATCTCTTTCTGACTCATTGCATATCCCACAAGAAAATAAGAGGTAAATTTAAAATTGTCACTTTTCTTGAACAACGCTCCTTTTAACATAAAATAATAAATTTAGTCGGTTATGATTATGGTTAATTAACAGGTATTTTGAGTCTAAAATGTTACCTTTATATACGTGAACCCCTACATTGGAATTTGGAAATAAAAGGATGAAATGTGAAATTGTCTTGAATACACACCACGATCGGTCACCAATTTTGACGATTGGTTACATAATTAACCTAAAATTTGTGTTAATTTTATACGGATATCTATTAATATCCATAAACTCTAATAAAATAAAGAGGGAAAGTGAATATATAAACAATTTAGATCTATCTTAATATTCTCTTGGCTCCAAAATAAAAACTGTGTACAATTTATATGATCTTATTGTATCTGCTTTTGTCTTTAGTTAAATTTCAAACAACTTACTAAAGTACTTTATAATAGACTGCAACATAATTATTTTTGTACGTACCAATTAGTTATCATATTTATCCTTTTACAGTTGATGTTCCGAATTAAAAAATTTCTAAATTTTTACAAGTAAACCATACAGTAGTTTTTAGTCTTGAAAGAATTTTTTTCGGAGTTCGGAGTTAAATGGAGGAATAAAAGGAAAGGAAGAAGAAAAGTTATTCACATAGAACTTTTGACATAACATTTAATTTTAAGAAAAATTGTCAAATTTACAAAAATATTAAAATCACATTTCGATAGATACTTAAAATTTCCACTTGCTTTTCTAACAATCACATCAATTTGTTATACAACAATAACAATAAATTTAGTCCTTTCGATGTGAATACAATCAATTAAACTAGAAATTTAACATATAACCTGTTTTCTTTAAGTCTTTTTCTTGATGATAAACTTAATAGCTCTGCTTGAAGATTGCATTCAAAGTTTGAGTCTTCAAAATACATATGTACTACAAATATGTCCAGTTATATGATTAAACAAATCGCGTCTTTTGCATCGTTCCACCCACATATTTCGAAGCCTTTTATCCTTAGGAAACACATTAAATAAAGTTTTTTAAATTGCCTTGTTTAGCACTATAAAAATTATTATTGCAAATTACAACACTACACCTCACTCCTGGCATTTTTACGTGGTAAATTAATAGTTTAAATTAAACACTACACCATCAACTTATTAAAAACTATTATCGATAACTAACTAATTACTGCAAAATACCCAAACAACTATGAAAGATTTACTTAAATACTTGGAAAAATGCAAAATTTCTAGTAAAGTCGCATGTAAACAAACATGAATTCTAAAGATTAGACATCTTGTGACGTAATATGAGATAAGCCACACCCATAATTTCCGTAAATTTTTCGACCGTCTTTTTTACGGACCGTGTATACACACTGCGAACCTACAGACCCCGGACATCGAAGATATTGCGCGTCAAATTCGGGTAAAGATGCGTACGCGTTCAAAAATGTATTATGTGTAAACTATGTACAATATAATTATTATATATAGCAAATATATCGTATTATCCTCGCGAAGATTTGTATCGTTTATTTAAAATCCGTAAACCATGTGAATTCGTAAAACAACGAGAATTATGCTAATTTAGTTCTAAAGAAATGAAATGACACTCGCGCCCATCTCTCGTCAAAGAAAATGTTGGATGCAATTTTGTAAGTTCTGTGATAGAAATTACATTATTACTCACTGTTCTTAATCTCTATTTTAGTAATGTTACAAAAGTTTTGCAACTATAACTAATTTTTTAGATATAAAGTTTGCTGAGAAATACTTATGTTCCTTTGTTATTCCGTACAAATGCTTTTTATCTCAAGTAGGTATTACTAATTATATTAATCAAGTAAAGAAAACTTTATGTAACCCTAAATATTGCTGGGTGATGATTACGATGTTTTTATAAACCATTAAATATATTAAAAGGATTTATCAACTATATTTTTTATTCCAATAAATATATCACAGCTTCCTAGTATTTTTTAATTAATCTAGTTTTTTAAAAACATTCAAAAAAATCATCTGTTGTGGATAATTTATTGTTGATAACAATGTACATGGGAGTTAGGAAAAATGCATATGTTTGAAATCAATTTCGTTTTTATCAAGTCTTTCAAATGTATTCCCTCCTTGCTGTCAGTTGATTGCGACGTTGCCACATGAATCCTCAAGTCAGACAGAAATGCAATTATTGGTTTCCATTTCTAATCAATACAGCTGTACTATGTTCAAAACTTACATTAGTTTTACATCAAAAATAAGATAATTCTGTGTACTATCTATGGAAAAGTTTTGTTTCACAATTTCTACATTTTTTTCTCAGTTACGGGCAAGAAAAGAGCCGTACCGTCCACCTTCGCCATATAAACCTATGTTAAAATGAACAACTTTCAACAACAATATCTCAAAATCTAGATTAAAAAAAAATTTTAAAAATATGACGCACTGAGGGAGCTCTGGGTAATACGCTCTATAAATTTCAAGTACGTCTGCGCATTTGAGTAAACCCAATATACCTCCTTAAGCCTTTTAAAAAAAAACATACGATTGGAACTTTATAGTTCAAAACCAAATACAAAACAAAAGTAATTACTACAGTAGTTAAGACTGTTTACTTTTAAACGTAATAATAATAATTTACTCCTTCAAGCATAAACGAGATTATGTACGAGGAAAAAATATGTATTATATATAAAATAATATAAATAAGATACCATTTGTTATGTTTTTAATTATATGTATAACGAATTATTGAGTCGTGCATGAACTGAAGCAAAATCAAGAAACTACTATGCTGTCTGCCGACAAAGTATGTGGTGTATAACAAGATCGAGAACACAGTCAAGAAAGTTGAGAGAGCTGGTGGTTGCGATTCGAGTCTAACATTTCCAAAGAATGACGTCGTTATTCGTAAAAGTGTCAAACAGAAGAGGGCTGGAAATATTTTATCAAAAACTCATCGCAGAAGGCAAAGGTGAAAATATAATATACTTGGCAAAAGTGTGCCATGGATTTGGAAATGTTTTTATGCGACCCAAGATGCAACCTTATAATTTAATTAATTAAGAAAATCTTCATTATATAATTTTTTCCACTCATGAGGAAATAATCAATCTATATTCGGTTTACGAACAACGATTTATTTGTTTTTTGGTTTTCGCGTACCATACATATGTTGTTCCTAAATCAACCAGAAGAACTTTGGCTTCGTTGTTACCCCTTTTTATCTCCCCCTTTATTATTATTTTATTTATTTATTTATTTATTTAACTTTAAATAAATTTTAATTTTTAAATAACAGTGATGTTACCTGTTTGTTTTTGCTAGGGTAGTAATTTTTGTTTTTGGCTAGTTGATTTCTCAGTGGGGGCGTGGATCCTACTAATAAAAAAAATAATCGGGCGCCAAGTGGTTTCAGAAATATTTACTGCCCTTCGCCAAAGTAATAGAGTAGACAAAAAAAATAAATTCGTGAAATAACCACAATGATGAAACCACTAAATAGTCATCATAGCTTTATTGGCGGCAATAAAAAAAAACAATGAATAGTTATACCAGTTATCTTAAAACTAACAACAATGACAACATTATGGCCTTATTCGACCGAGACGATACAGAAGTTTACTTAAGCATAAATAGATACCCCTTTATTATTAGATACTACTGATATTTTTATGACACTAACCTTATACTAAAATTTAAAACTATTTACACTCTTCTTAGCAAATGTAATAACGTGTGGGTAATATTGATCGAAGAAACGATGAAGTGTGGCATAAGTTGCCTCAAACAAAAAAAAAGGGTGTTGTGGTACTTAGCTGTGTAGTAACTGCAGCAGGAGTAATCATTCGAACGAGCCAAATCTGCTTTCCACTGGATATCTACATAATCATGGGACGACTCGCGTCAAACAGTAGGCAAACTCTTCTTACAATAAAAAAAAATAACCCAACAGCAAAAACACCTCGGGCGTGGACAACCTTTGCTACCTCCGGACAAAACGCCTAAAAATAGTAATGAAACGTGGCATAATAGCGAATAATATTAAGCGCTAAATGATACTTTCTTTGCTTTTTTTTTTTTTTTTTTTTTTGAAACTAGTAGGTTTACTCTATTATAAAGATAATGTGAAACACGCTTACCTCCAATGCCGAAATCCCTAACACTTGGAGACGTGATAAAATGACCCAAATAAAATACAGAAACAGACGGCACCAACAACCAAAATTTCTTAACCACAGGCGTCGTCTTCGTCGCTAGGAGAGGAGTTTTAATCCGTTATTTAAACGTTTTACAGCCTTTACAATAAATTCGTAATTTCGATCTCCACGCTAGCTGGCCATATACTACTAATTTTCAACAAAAAAGAAAAAAACCTTTTTTTTCTAAAACGCTCTGTTCTTCGCGAGGAGGCCCGTTTTTCCGTCGGAGATATGGTTATCTATTTCTTTGCCTTTCGTTTGCTCGAATTTAAATTTACTAATTTGGCTTTTCTCCTACAGATGTCTCTAAGTGTCTGATTAAAATTAATTATACTACCGATTTAAGAGCTAACAAACTGACTTACAAATATTTAACCGTAAGAAAAATAAATCGTAACATCGTTTTCAAATATCTTTAATTTGTGTGTTCTATTACATACATGGTACATATACTGAGGACATCCTGTATGTCATCTTATGGATCATTTAAGAGACATGATTATTCTTCATGAATCCATTCAATCATCCTTCATCTTACGTTAAATGTTTGTTTTACTTTTATCTAACAAACGGGTTTATAAATAAAATATAATTTTCTCCCAATACTGGAATAGTAGAACGCTTTATATCAAACTTCGTTTATCTAGTGGATACTCACGGAAATCGAAAAGTACTTGTACAATAAAAGCGGTCAACTTTTAACTGACCTAATTTATTAAATATACAGGGAGCAACATTGTCAAAGAAAAAATAAATAAAAAGACAAGACGTTGCTATACAAAATAAATGCTGATTTATCTACATGTATTGCCTATTTACGAATTTATTTTTATTTACAGAGTACGATTCGAGGGATCTAAGATTTCTTTATGGATGATTAAAAATAGGAAAGGGTACGATACTGTAAATTACCCAAAAAAAGACTCAGTATTTGCTCACATGTTTATACTAGTATAAAAAATAATTTATTGAATTAAAATTACTCGTTACTCAGAAAAGCGGACAGCAGCATATGATAAAATACTTTCGTACCGTCTTTCATCAAACGATTTATTTATATTTTATGGGATATATACACAAATTTCGTACGGGCAGAGATAATATTAGGCTTTCATTTTCGAAAGCTTTTATACATAACTCGTAATGTAGATGTCTAATAAATGTATGTAGCAGGTAACACAATGATGATAAAATAGGCAATAAAATGCAATATTGGGTAAATGGCTAAATGAACTATTATTTAGGACAGTAAGTACCAGAAAAATAGACTTTTGTTTATCAACAAATATGAGTAGAATATTTAATGTCTAAACAATGTTTAAAAAATATTTATTACTAAAACATCCCTGAAATAGAGTAACAGAAAAAAGAGTCCAAGACTTGAGTATATTGCAACCCTTGTATATAAATGTAGCAAAGTACACACTGGACAAACAAAAGAAACGTTAGTACAATAGTGGTTTTAATTCTTTCAGGACCCTGTTGATATTTAAGTGCGATGGTTAACCGGATTGTTATGCCCTTGTTGGTCTCGGTCTAAGCTCTGTGGGGCTGCCCCGCTATTAGCACCCCTAGGTTCTTCAAACAATAGTGATTCTCTGGTCGCATTCAATGCTTCCAAACGTTCTTCACTGTCGGCATCTTCAGTAGTGATCCTGCAAATGTTTCTGTGCTACTGGGTTGCGCATCGGGTTTCGCCTGTAGTGATTTTAGAACTAACAAGAACCGAAGTGAACCTAGGGGTTTTAATAGCGGGTCCACCCCCTCACCGGTAGGTTAAATATTTCTACCTAAGGCTATGGACGTGAAAAGTAATTCCGTAACTGTACTTACGCCACTACAAGGAACACAATGAAGAGACACTGCATCAAAAATACTCAGTGCCAAAAATTCTTCGAAGTACCATTTAAGTTACGGAAATAGTTTCTTTTGAATTGTAATCACATGTTCATAAATATTTGAAAAATTCACCCAACAAGGGGTTTGAAAAATTGTTCATGTTCGTTTGGTAGCAATACAACCATCCTACTGGGGATTACTAAAAAAAATAAGAAAAGGACAGAGTTTGTAGAAAGTATTAATTGCTAAATAATACAACGGATAAGGAACTAAGACATACTTAAACACTTTAGTTTCCGTACATCCTCTCACTTTTAATGCTTTAATCCAAAATTTCGTTGCTTTGGAACGAAACTGGGTCGTATTTTATTCCCCTGAATTTATTTCCATTTGTAAAATTCAAAATGTAATCTAAGCTAGCCGCTAACCATTCCTTTTTTCATTCTAACTGCCAGTTAAGATGAAACATGCATTGTAAGAGCAGGGGTGAATAACAAATAAAAACTAAACACCCCAGGGACATATCAGAATCACTAGATGTTTTCTTAAAATCTCATAAATATTCATAAAAGATTCTTACACAAAGGACCTCCATTTTATCCTGACACGAAAACCTGACTGCCTGGAATCAATTATTTAATTTTCTAATTCGTCAAAAAATATAAGTTGTTATCCTTCTTGTGCGTCGCATCATTGAACAGTATCAATGATTAATGAGAGAACATGTATAAAATATATTCAGGGATTGCATCGACATACTTTTTTAAAGTGAAGTTATTGTTGTTCTGTTGATACATACCCATTTCGCGCATTTATGACTTTCATTTGCTTCTAAAATTGTTTGTGGGTTTCAGTGCAATACCTTGAGGGTGGAAAATATTGTGTGCAGACAATTTTTGTGTGGTTAAGAATTTAAGAATAAAATACTGTAATATACGTATATCACTTTGTTTCTCGTAATTGAACTGATTATAAACTGCTTTCTTTTATCTTTCTGCAGATAAATTGTTGGTTTATTTGAATTTAATTTTCATTTGGTTCCCTATTAATTCGTTATGCTTTCAACTTCAACAAAATTTAGTACTATCTGTTTTTATTTTTTGTTAATCTTTACATTTACTTTGAAAAGCAACCTGATCTTTACAAATTTGTATTTTATTATGAAGAAAAAACTAAATCTGGAATTGGTCTACAAATACATATTCTTAAAAGTAACTCTGATTACCTATAATCCTTATTAGTGTGTCTTTTTTGAGCCCCCCAGTATATTGATTGTTCTTTTATCTACACTTGCCTATGTCCACCATTTTCATTTGTTTGCCATGTTGTTTTATTTATTATACCTAACTTCCTTGGATTGCTGCTATAGCTAAAGCACTATTATAATTTATTCCCAAGTATGACTTTGCCGATTGTGTTTCCTGTTTCTTTTCTTTACTGCATTTTTTAATCATGCTATGCCATGTTGTATGGACACTTTCTAAGGAAAATTCTTCTTTACTATGCTTGTTCTGTCCTTGAATATAACAGTGCCTTTTGCTACAACATTCTTTTGACATATATGACTTGATTGCGATCAAACCTTGTGAATATCGGCTTTCTGCAAATTCACTTTTACTTCTTAAAACTAAATTTCTAAGAACTAACAACTAGTTTTCTTAAATAATTTCTTTCGATCCAACTATTTTTATTTGGTTCCTTACAAATGCATTTCCAAATTCCGTTTATTCTAAAATTTCATGTGTCGGAAAGTGATGACGGATGCTCAATCTCGGACGTAAACACCGAGAATCATCTAGTCATCTAAGTGTGCGGGACCCGAAGCGAAAGGGGAAGAATAATAAACATTCTGGCTAGAGCGGAATAAGAACTGACTTGAGGCATTCATTAAATATACTACGAAGCATGTAAAAACCGAACTGTTCCAAGTTAATTTAATTATAACGTTTTGCAACATTTCTTAGTTTTATTGCATTATTTCTAACATCAGAAGTGGGATTACACCTGTGCGCTTAAAAATACTTGTGTTGTGCATGTTGTGCAAAATTAAAATATTAATAATAATACTGGTGCAGCTAAGTGCAGACAAACGGATTTTCAAGTGGTGCTTGTGAGTGCTTCATTTCACATTGGTTAAGATGAAGCGGCACCAAAGAACCCAGGTAACTGGTGAGTAAGGGGGTTTGCCAGAAGAAGACAGGGCGTTGACGAGGCGACTGCGCCTGGATTCAGCAAGTCGGGTGTATGGCAGCGGTCGACAGCGGGAGCATAGGCATAGGAACGGTAACCCGTCACCCCGAAGCGAGCGTTCGAGGGAAAGAAACCGGAGTCATAGGCGGATCCGGAGTCGGGACCGGAGGCGTAGACACTCACGTAGTGGCGATAGGGCTGCGGACAGAAGGAGGGAAAAAGCTTCTTCGGCTTCCTCGACTAGTGCTGTAGCTGAGAGCGTTTCGCAACTAAGGGCGACCATGGCATCACAGTTTGAAAGGTTGGTCGAATAACGGAATCCTGTCGTAAGTAATGTATCTCTGATTCTGAATATTATTCCAGAATTTAATCCTTTATTACATGACTAGAGAACGGACAATGTGTGACTTTAACCCGAATAATAGGTCAAATTTTGGTAGAGATGTGTACGCGTTCAAATATGTATTGTGTATAAACTATGCAAAATATAATTATTATGTATAGCAAATATATCGTATTATCCTTGAGAAGATTTGTACCCTTTATTTAAAATCCATAAACCATGTAAACAGGTTAAATCACGAGAAAATAATTAAGTTAATCACTAATGGGGTTCAGAGTGTGTATTACTGATTTGTTACATACGGGAGAACATGAAGCAGTGTATTCGATATGGGAGAATGATTCCTGGTCCGCGGATTTGGTGACAGAACATTACAGGTTAAATCACTGGTACTTTGTTCTGGTTCAGAGCGGAATTTTGCTTTGGCAGAGCGGTAATTGCTCTGGTCAGGTAGACTGGTAGTGGTCACCTGGTGGGTTTTCCTTTTTTTCTTTTCATTATTTTTATTTAACATTTTTTTTACTATTAATCCTATTATTTTATTATTATTGTATCATAATTAGGTACTTATTTTTACAACGCAGAACATTGCAGGTTAAATCCCTGGTACTTTGTTCTGGTTCAGAGCGGAATTTTGCTCTGGCAAAGCGGTATTTGCTCTGGTCAGGAAGACTGGATGCAGGTGGGCTTTTCCGAGGTCCTCCTGGTATATTAATCTTTTTTCTTTCAGAGGATAGAGCAGGGGATTTTCTGCTCTGGGGCTGGGGGGACTGGAAATACCGGGA